ATTCTCTGTATTTTACTTTAGATGAAAATAAGGAGCCACTCCCCACGCCCCTCTGTGAGATATTTAGTTAAAATAACACAATGGTGCTCTAGGAGGAGATTCAGGTGATAAGGTGTGGGGGGGGGGGGTTACCTTGGTTGGTTATTGGCTAATGGCTACATCGTTATGACATCATAAAGTGGCAAAAATCTGATCAGCTCATTTTCATTTTTATATAAATGGATCAGGACAAAAAGTGAGAGAAACTTTTTCCTGAAACTTTCAGAACCTCTTTCCACAGAGGAGACACATGTTGATGTATAAAAGACATGGAAAAGTAGATTTTGCATAATAGGTGAATATTTAATATTCAAATGTAAAACATATCAGTGCAAAAAGTGCCAAAGATTTGATCCCAATGTGTTGTGTGTATTTGTCCCTGCAGATGGTCAGAAGCAGGAGGCGAGGCTGAGCGGAGGAGCCAACAGACACTGTTTGAACAACCTGAAGGCCAACACGCAGTATAAGATGAGTGTGTACGCTCAGATGCAGGATGGCACTGAAGGGCCCGCAGTCACCATCACTGAGAGAACATGTAAGTGACCCACAGACTCTTTCACTGACACAAATACAGTGTATATACGATTTTTGATAATAGATCTGATTGTAATTCAATCAGGAGAGACAGTTTTGATGTAAGAGTACATATTTATTGCCAGAAATACACATAAATGTAAAGGAGTTTTGGCGATTAGGCCCCGTTGTGCAGGAATATAATTCGGGAAGGGAGAACCGATCCGATGAAATCCCCCCGGGGTCTAGACACTGGTGGTGGTGAATGGATAGCTGGGGTCGGTCTGAAGGGGAGTGGCTTAGCTTGACCCTGGATTCAGATGGAAGGGAGGTGAAGAGGGGTGGAGGAGGGTTGCGCCGGTTCACCTGGAATGAGAGCTGTCAGAGGGGAGAGCAGATTTAAAAGGTTTAGCGAAGCGCTATGATAGGCTTGTGAGAATAGAGCAAAGTGGTTGGTTAAGCTGGGGAGTGACGCCCCCGATCACTTATTGAGAGGAGAGAGAGTAGTGACATGGAAATAGTGAATGAATGAGTAAAGAAGGTCTTCCTGGTTTAACTTGCGCTGAGCTTCATTTGTATGAAAACATTGAACTATTATTCAATCTTTTTGATATTCTGCTGTTCCCATTTGTGTTTACTTCCTGTCTGTCTTCTGCTGAATTTTTTCAAATTGACCATTCAGAATTTAGTATTCAAGTAAGTCGTAATCATTTCAGCATAATTTAAAACCAGAAACTTACACTTGAGTTTGAATTCAACTTGGAGTTGTGTCATTGACATACATTGAAGCATGTGTCTCATTTCATATGTATTCAGAAATTCATTTTAGTCAGTCATTTCAGAACACTTAACCCTGGAAAGCATTTCAGAGATGCTTACAAACATATGTATTTGCCGTACGCACACCGTGTGAGGCTGTAATACAAAAACAAACTCAAACAGACTCACCAAGTACTGTACCTCCTCCATACAACGTGCCAGACTCCTGTTCAAATGCGCCCGTACATGTGTCATAATAACAATAAAGCAGAAACACACGCTTAACAAACACACTCGTACAGAAATGGCTGTCAGCTGTCATTGTGTATAAAAGGAGCCCATCACCGGCTGGGAGGACTATCACGTCACTTTCACAATAAAACATCTTTCATCCTCGTGGGAGCTTCGGTTCTTACAGACGTTTGTTCTGCATCGGCAGGCCCAAACCCACTGTCTGCAGAGCAGGGACCGAGTGTGGTGGGTGGGCACACGCTATTTTCTGTTTTATTTTCAATGAACTGTTGCAAGTGTTCCTATTTTAAAAGGTATTTTCCACTCTTTTTTTCCATTGTTTTTTTCTTGAAACATACTTTAGTTGTTGAAGCCATTTTACTGTTAACAGTGATGTGCCCTAAGGTCAATGGTTAAGAAGGCGATGGCTAGTAGAATAGCCAGATTTACACACATATTAACCCCATTTGAAACATGTTTGGTATTTTCTGTCTCTTCGTAGAAAGTAGGTCCTTAAGCTCAAGCATTGGTGTTCCATTGTTAATCACTCCCTGGTTTGATTGATGATTTTTGCAGCAGCTCAACATTGCTTTCTTCCGCTAGCTAACGTAGACGGATAGCTAGCGTCAATTAGTCAAGACACGCTCCTTCAGTGAGGCACATGTGATGCTGCCTTACCTTGTGCTTTGTATTGCAATTGTATTGTATCTATTTTCATTGGACAGGTGAAGCCCTGCCACCCCTGACCGCATGTCCCTGACGGTTAGATCTGATACAATTCTAAATGCTAGCTTCACTGAAAAGATGAGGGCTTTTCAAGTTTAACACACCTAGTCGAACCTCACTTGAGCTAGAAAATGCCCTGATAATATCTGTTGCTGTGACGTCGGTAGGGATGGGTACCGAGCCCCGGTATTAAAGGGGCTCCGGGGCGTAATTATTAAAGACAGTGGTACCGTTAAGCTCCGACGTTATCGGTGTTTTTATCGGTACTGGAGACATTCATTATTGCTACATAAACATTATATTGCAGTTTTAGTTTCGCCAACTCCGTTTCTAATATGCAAAAAGAAACGCGTCTATGATACATTTTCACACTAAACGATCTCCATCTTCTCCAGGTCATGAACGTTAGGCATCCTGTTGTGATTGCAGTTGCTCTGGTGAACACAACACTAAGCCAATAAGTTGTGGGTTTTTTCCACTACTAACGCAAAGTACTACTAATTTGCTGTTGAAAAGAAGCCAATTGTGGGTTGTTTGAGTGAGGACTCTGTAATGATTTTGAACCATGAAAAAATGGTCATTAACTCTCTAGCTATCTAGCTATCTAGCTAACAGCCGTTATCGTCAGGGCACAGCAGCAGTGTGTGATTAGAAACAAAACTACCCGTTCAAAATTCAATTTTAAGCACATAACATGCAGTGTACTAAGTGAAGTATCCAAATTGAGACGTATGAAAAACTAGATAAAAGAATGTTGAGGTATTTGTTAGCGTGAAGCTGCTCCCTCAGCGCTGTAGCTCTGCCCAGCGCCTCCACATGATTTATTGCTTTGTTTTGATGCAAATGAAAGCCGGAGCCTTTTCTCCAAATGACTCTCCTAACCGCTGCAGGCAGCCCCTGCTGAACGCTCCCACCTGCCGTCACAAGTCATCCGCTGCCTCTGGGATCTGATTTAGTGCCTAAGCAGAACCAAATGAGTAAACTGTGTATGTGTTTGGGAGGGGCTGCAGCTGGTTTATCTATTTTCTAGCCCCCCTACTCGGATAAAGGTAAGGAGTTGAAAGCAGAGACAGTTCTGTGATCACTAATCACCAAATGACACAAGAGCTGAAACCACAGAGCAGAGCAAAGTTATTTGACTCATTGTGTACGTTGATGCGTCCCGCCTGACGCTGGCTCCTCTCTTCTCTTGTTGTTGTCTTTCTTTTAGGAGGGGACATTTTATTACGGGCTTTCATAGCATGTGGTTTACGATCGATGTGGTCATGATTGCAGGTTTTCATGCCGCCACGTGTGTCTTCTTTATTTTGTCTCTCTACACAGTACCCATCCCAACCCCAGCACCAACCACGCCCCCCAGCACCACACCGTTACCCACAATCCCCCCTGCCAAGGAAGGTAAGATTTGATTTAATACTGTTTAATATTATTGATTGTCTCCTGTCAATTTCCTGATGATGTATTGATTTGCTTTCCTGTTTGAACAGGGGCTTCACGTTTGTCACATTCAACATATTTATTTATATTCGCAGTGTAAAGTCATTTTGTTTTGGCATACTTCAGGAATAAACCGCAGCCGCAGAGATGGAGAAATTGCCAAAATACACAAGTGTAGTTCAAATGTTATTCTATCTTATTTCTGCTACATTATACTTCCAGTAGCATACCTTTTAGAGGTCAATACTGTACCAAAGATTGTGCAATAGTTACATTTCTTTGTTGTAAATGAATGAATCTGAAGTTCATCTTACACATTGATCGCTCTACATAATAGCAGGTAATAAACAATCATCTGAGCTGAAAGGGTAGTTTTGCTTTTCAAATGATTACTGTCATCTAAAGGAGTCTTAAACTTCATTGATTTTCTTTGACTATGACAGTTTAGTGTCAGTCAACAGTGACACTTTAAAGAGAAGAGTAAAAACACTTTCAACTGTTCTCCTGCCAGTGATGTGCCTTAAACACACACAAGCTAAATGATGGGATATAAAAACACAGGCTCAAAGAAAAGGGAAAAGTGTAGGGAGGATTCTGAGTTCAAACAGCCACACACAGAGATGACATATCATTACAGAGATACATCTTTACAGAAGGTTCATTTAAAAATAAAAGTCAGAAATATAAACCCTGGTGGATTCTGGATTTGTTCCAGCATCTCAACAAACATGCAATTTCCATTCTTCACATATATCTGTCACCACAAGTCAGCATGTTTTGTAACACCTCAGCGTTATACCAGTATGTCTGAGGGGAGTAAAGGGAACACATCATCAGCTGAGGCACAGGACCACGTCGGATCTTATTTGATCTTCATACTTTTATCAGGCAATGTTCATCACCCAGCAAGAGAACTTCATGTTCACAAGATATTTAGTTTTATGAGTCAATCAATCAGAGTTTATTCATAAAGCCAAATATCACAAATGACACATTCATCTCAGGGGTCTTTACAGACTGTATCTGACACCCTCTGTCCTTTATACCCTCACAGCCCACAAGCAGAAACTCAAGAGGAGGGATCCTTCTCTCTGGACAGTCCAATAGACAAAGTCAATGCAGGAGTCTAGATGCAAATACAATGTTCAAGTTCAAGGCTTTTATTGGTCATACGAACATAGCTACAGTGTAGTTATGACGATGAAATAACATATACAAGAACATAATGATACATTTGATGATGAATGATACATTTACAACAAATACAATAACCTACAAATAAACCTGCCTACTGTAAGTAACAGGACCAGAAGGAACCACAGACAAAACACACCGCTTTCATTCAGCTACATGCATTTGAACTATTAAAGGTACACAGAACATGCTAATAAATTGGACATTGAGGATATGAAGTCCGGTTATTGTTTTAGTTATTTTCAAAACTTTAACCTGTTAAGCCCGAGCCTGTTTTTCAGGTCTCAGGCTCGAAAATGACATTCCCAGAACAAATGACTATATCTTCACTTCTAAAAGGGGAACATTAATAATCTTTGTTCTCAAAGCAATGATAAACCTGTGAGTTGGATGTAGTAGAGTCAGAATCAATATAGCATTTTTTTATTTTAAAGTAAATTCAGATTGAACATAGTGAAACAATGTAAATTATAGTGTCCATCCAAAAGAAACCATTACTTATAGTGAAAACCACCCTTGAATGATGGGATAGTAGAGAAAAAGCTTTAGGAATCCAAACTATAACATATAATAACTACCCTGTATTAAGATTGATGCAAAACAAGTGACATTTGACCTTTTTAGAGAGTTTTAGAAAATAAAAACACTTCTGGGGTCATTTGGGTGGATTTGCCGTATCTCTGGAACCCATTGGTCGATTTTGATGATTGACACCTCTTTTGAACCGTTAGAGCCAATAGAATCGAGAGGGAGTTCCTAAATCCATCTAAACATTACAATGTCAATGAGAGTGATGCACAGCCAGCATGCCCAAAGCCGGAAGCTGTCATACACTCTCGTAGCTCTCATAGCAGCTATATGAAAACTACTCACATTGACACACATGTTACTCAAAGAATACAAGAATGACACTGATTATTGTGTTACAAAACATCATTACATTATAAAATAGTGTCCATGGATTCGACATGTTCTCCATTTATTTCAAGCTCAAATCTAGATCCTGTGTGGTGATGCATTTCATTTCATTTTTCAGTCAAATGTATTGTAGTTCAAACGTATTATTCTTAATACTTATTTGAGTATTATTGCATAGCGTGTAGCTGGGACAGTGTATTCTATTTCTCTCTCGATATTAAAACGCAGTTTGCAGTAAACAAAGAGTGGATAACAGAGGTGGCAGCAGTAAATGTGCTTTTATCAGCGGAGACAGGAAGTGAATGGAATGATTGGTGAGGAGCGATGGAGGCAACTTTTAACAAATGTAACAAGTTAAGACCTCTCTACATCTAATCAATCATTTTCATCAAAAAATGCCCTTACATTCCTGAATGGTAACAAGCATTCATCACAATGAAAAGTTTGTTTATTTGTACTGTGATAAAAAGGAATGAAAGCAAAGTTATAAAGAAGAATAGAAAAAACAAAGAGAATAGCAGAGAAGTAAACAAGTTTTTATTTGGAATCCTGATTCAAAGCAAAAGAAGAAAAGGGACGACACAAACAAGTTATTTCTAACGAGAAAGTACTTTGAAAAGGACAGTAAATATGACTAATCAAATCACTTTATTTAAAAGCTAATGACACAAATATAACACATTAATTATGTGTTAAAAGAGACATGAGACTTTAAAGAAATGTGTGTTAAAAGCAAAGCTACATAACCTCCTCCTCCATGGTCTGTGTTGTCTCCATCTGCCCTCCATCTTGCTCTCTATGTATCTACCCAGAGATTGTAATGTTTCTCACATTGTATTTCCTCACTTTAGCTTTTCCTTGTCTCTTCCTCAAGTCTGTAAGGCAGCCAAAGCAGACCTGGTGTTCCTGGTCGACGGCTCCTGGAGTATCGGGGATGAAAGCTTCCTGAAGATCATCCGCTTCCTGTACAGCACCACCGGAGCTCTGGACCGGATCGGCCCCGATGGAACTCAGGTACAAGCTCATTATGACAAAGAACGATAAAGCACAGCAGTGCAATCTCTCATGGAAACATGTCTTCCATCAGCCTTTATGAAAACAAGTGTAACCGTGATAGATGGTAAACGGTTATCTAGATAATCAAATATAGGCTCGGCGAAAAAAACGCTTTGTGTCATTTTTTAGGATCTAGCCCTTTTAATTAAACTCTGAGTAAAACGTTGCTCCTTTTTGAATTGATGAGTTACCTGTTTGTGTGTTGTCTGACAGGTGGCCATCGCTCAGTTCAGTGACGACGCCAGGACAGAGTTCAAACTGAACTCGTACGGCGACAAGGAGCGACTGCTGGACGCCATCAACAAGATCTCCTACAAGGGAGGAAACACCAAGACAGGTGAGTGTGTGGGAGAGAAACTTCCTCTGGAAGGAACACAGGTAGTGTAGCCTTTGCAGACCATTCACATGCACACAAACATATAACACGCTACAGGGAAGGGGACACCTCAAAAAGCTCACTAGGGCTTCAAAACAACCGTGTGCAAGTTCTGTAACTTCAGCAGGTACAATTCCAGCTTTTCCCCAAAATACATCCATCTCTCAAAAGTAATAATATAGCTTTATTTGTAGAGCACTTCCCACATACATGATGCAGCTCATTTGCATGAACAGAATGACTCACAACATAATACAGACAGAAAACAAGTCAGAGGCTAAAGCATATTAGCACACATGCAGCATGTATATATAATACATGTGAATCCATGGAATAGAAGAAAGTAAAATAGGCAAGAGAATAAATACAAAAATGTCATCCAACAAGAAATGAAGACACACCTGTGTAAGACAAAGGAACAGTCTGCTGGGTGCAGACACTCAGAGCTTCCTAATAACATCATCAATACTGATAGCATACATAGCAGCAGGCAACAACTCTCACACACACACACACACACACACACACACACACACACACACACACACACACACACACACACACACACACACACACCATTTAATGTGTCTGAAGGTGTACTTCCACTGGTGTGCATTGCATCAATGTATTACCCTTGTGAACATGCCTTCATGCCTATAAGGTATTTGTTTCCATGCCCACAGTGTTGTATAGGATGCATAGAAGTCCTTATTTATGGAGTGTGTGTAATGAGAGGAAGTGTGTGGGGAAGCAGGGAGAAGTGTATTCATTCATCAGAGTTAATAAAGCAGCGCACTCACTCACTCGTGCAGGGACGACTGCAGAGAACACATTTTTAACAGTCACTGCCGGGGGGGGGGGATTGTCCTTCCTTATCCTCCTCCTCCTCCTCCTCCTCCTCCTCCTCCTCCTCCTCCTCAAGCACTCAATCGCCTCGTTGTGCACACTGAGATGACTAATCCCTTTCACAGTGTTCACACAGGCCTGGAGAGTGCGTGAAACAAATGATTTTGTTATTGATACAATACATGTTGGGTGAATTGTATGACGTATACATAGAATGAAAGGCTTTTTTTTTTAAATATAAATGCGGGAATAAAAACATCAGAAGTCCCCAGTCTGCTTTTATCTGAAAGGAAAAAGGTAAACAAGATAACCCTGCATCTTTTTATTGTTGTATTTTGGTATTACTATATCAGCCCCTGAACATGACTTGCTAAAATTCTTAGGACTTTAAATATAGATATAAGTATTTGTTTTATTTGACTTTGAAAACATCATAAAGTTTGTATTTATTTTGTCATAAGGTTGTAGGTCTTCAAACAAAAACATTGTCATTCGATAACTCACAGAAGGGAAGTTGGGCTATATTTGTACAAGCCCTTCCATTTCAACTCACTGTTTTCTTGTAACTTGTCTGTATATAAATATTGAATTAGAGTTAATACTAAAAGTCAGTCAGTATAACTGTATTATGTTTGCCTATTCTAAAAAGTATGTATTTGATGTCTTTATGTGTGATGATGCTGTTCCCCATATGAGCCTTTCATTATAGTAAGACCATTCTATGAGGCTGGACCTCGCTGTATAACATAAGTTGTTGTGATGGTCAAATCTTCCTTACCTTAGCGAGGTATATTAGGTATATCCACAATAAGGGATTTCTGAGCTCTCTCCTAAAGGCTTTCAAGTCTGGAACAGTTCTAAAGCAGCGTCCACACGGCGGCGTTCGTTGAAGCTTGCCGGCAGGCGTGCCTGAAGCTCGACCAACAACCAATCACATGAATCTCCCGCCCCGGACACACAAGCACGCGGTTTGATTGGCTAGAGCTTGTACTGGCATATGATTTGATTTGCTGACGCTTCCGTCGAAGCTTCAAAAGTTGAACATTGCTCAACTTTTGAAGCAAGCAACGCGAGCAAAGCGAAGCGACGCTCCCACAATGCAGTTCGGCAAAGTGTGACGTCACCCCATTCAAAGCGAATAGGCAGAAGCGTTGAAGCTTCAACGCACGCCGCTGTGTGGACGGGCCGCTGTCCACGGAGCTGGAAGCCCAGTTGCAGGAGAGCATATGTTCTGGGCTCCTCCCCGACAAGACAATCTAGCATGAACTGGTTGGTACACATGGTTTCCTCAGGTTTTTCTTTACTCTACTCGTGCAACAGCCTCTTAAAGCAGTGATGTTGGCCAGAACCACCTGCTCTCCCGCGGGTCTCACAGAGTTCATTTAGTTCTGGTTTATCTTGTACAAAAATGTTGACCACTTGGCTTTCATGGTTTCCGTAGCTTCCACCTACCATTTAAAAAGTGATCAAGTAATGTTATAAGGATGGGACCCCAAGTGTCTTCTCATTCCCTGAAACAGTCCAGAGTTACAGTGGCTACTTTAGTGATGGTTTCACTGGCGCTACATAAGGAACTAGTTCACAAAGCTTAAAGGAGGAGAACTGGCTTCACATGATCCAGTAGCTGGAACAGTTACTTAAAGATGTAAACTGACAGAACTAAAACTGGCACCAAATTCTAGATTGACAGACCTCCAACATCAGTTTGTGGGGAGATACAATTTGAATGTATAATATGAAGCAGCAATCAACAGTTGAATCCATGACTGTTGAAAATGAATCTTGACTTTCTGTCAATGCACAGTTCTTAGTGACAGAAATCATGTCAGCTAAAGCTTATATATTTTGAATTGTAACATATAACAGGGAAGGAATGTCCTTTTTTTCTTTCCGCTCTAGTCGAAAGTATCAATTTCTGCGCCTTCTGCTGGAACCATGTGCAACATTATCTGTATTTAGGAATCCTCAGTAAATAAGTTAATTTAAAACGATTGTACGTTAACAACATGTTGGGAAATAATTTGTTTCATCTGTCCAATCAGGGCGCGCCATCCAACATGTGAAGGAGAACATCTTCACGACAGAGGGGGGAGTCAGGAGGGGGATCCCCAACGTCTTGGTGGTCCTCACCGACGGTCGATCTCAGGATGACGTCAACAAGGTTTCAAAGGAGATGCAGATGGAAGGTCAGAGCATCTCCTGGATGGACGGTCCCACATATACAGTTGGCATTGTCTTTTAAATGGACATCATTACATCAGAGAGCAACTACAGAAGGAGACATCAGCACTGAATGTTCAGTATATTCATAATATTCATACTAAATTAAACGGTTTGTCACCTTTCATAATATGAATAGACATTGACATTATGGTCAATCATAATGAAGATCATTTCTTACATTTCTAATCAGTAATAATAACATTTTACAGTGAGTGAATTAAAAAAAAAGCTTTATAACTTACTTGAAATGCAGTTTTTAAGTGTAAGTTGAAACTTTCGTACCATTATAATTCAAGAATAAGTCATTACATCATTTCTGTGTGCTAGCTTCTTCCTTGGTGAAGACAGTTGAGATTCCTGACCCACACTGTTGCTTCTCCTCCTGTCTTCCTGTAAAGGCTACATTGTGTTTGCGATTGGCTTTGCTGACGCTGACTACGGGGAGCTGGTGAGCATCGCCAGTAAACCCAGCGACAGACACGTGTTCTTCGTGGACGACCTGGACGCCTTCGCCAAGATCGAGGAGAAGCTGGTGACCTTTGTGTGTGAGGCCGCCACTGCCAGTAAGTACCCAAAGCTTCCGGGAAAATCTAAACTTTAGTTCAATCAGACAACTCACGTGTTTCTTAATATGTTTATTATAAGCAGCATATAGTTTGAGTTTGGCGTCTAGGCTCGGGCCTCATCACTCCACAGATTTACAAAGAACATTGAGTGATGATTAGATAACTAACCCCCCGAGCCTACAGGTGGAAGCTGGGGTGGAAGCTGGGGAGGTGGTGGTGCAGGCGAGCAGCAGCAACATGGACCACAGCAGCAGGAACAGGAACATGAACGTAGCAATAGCAAGTGAACAAAGCAGTGGCAGCAGCAGCATAGCGAGGCAGAGGCAGGAAGACCTGGCAGCTTAAATAGAGTGGCATGTTTAGGAGATTGTGTTTGGTTGGTTGTAAGAGGGACGAGGTGCGTCACGTGTTAATGTATCATTGGTGCTCGAGTTGACTGCCTGAACTAGCTCGCAGGCTTCGCCCCATTGGTGATACTGTGTGATATGTGACATATCTGCCCGAAGGAATGTGTCTTTTTAATCAACACACTTTCTTTCCCAGCGTGTCCATCAATACCGATGAGTGGCAGCACAACACCAGGTAAAAAAGTCTATATTAATATACTGTGAACTAGAGATGTCCCGATCCGATCACGTGATCGGGGATCGGCTCCGATCGCGTGATCGGGGATCGGCGCCGATCACGTGATTTTCAAAAGATCGGAATCGGGAGAAAAAAATCGGGGATCGGGATTTTTTTTTTTTTTTTTTTTAAATACTTTTTTTTAAATTTTGTATTCAATGTTACAAAACAAAAATGACCATGTTCAAGTCTTAACGTCATCCTGAGGCCTTAGTTTTGGTTTCAAATTACAGAACATCATGTATGTGTTGCTTCTTTTGGGCTTGTTTTCATAGACCTGGTTGCTTATTTCTCTCAAATCTGGCAACAGAGTGGGCAGGGCGCAGTGTCTAATTGTAGCAGTAAGCTAACGAGTACTGAAAGCTTTATTTTGTTTTGATCCAATGCTGCACAACTGAACTGATCCAATGCTGCTGTGAAAGAAAGAAGCTATATCCATGTTGGATACAATATCCAATTTAAATAAAAAAATAACCTTAAGGGACAACTTGAATGCTTTTTTTTCTCTTAATGCATTGCATAAAGATCGGATCGGGAAAAATCGGTATCGGCAAATTGTCAAAATCAAATGATCGGAATCGGATCGGGAGCAAAAAAAGGTGATCGGGACATCCCTACTGTGAACAGTCATGGTCTTTTCCTATTTGTTCCCACTTGATGCTAAATGCTAAATGCACAGTATATTATACCGTTTGAACAAGTACCTTAGATACACTGAGGATGTGCAGTATGTTCATAAGCATTCCTTTTTGAAGCTGACACAATGCATATCTCCCTCTGATCTGTAGACCTTTTTATCAATCTAGATTTGTTTAGTGTGAGTTGCTGAGTATTGGAGATCGCAGCAGTAGAAATGTATTCCTTCTCTCCAACATAATGGAACAAGATGGCACTCTAGATATGGCACTCAAAGCTAAAAATAATACATGAAAACTGAACAATGTCTATTTCCGGAAATCATGACCTGGTTATTTAAAGAACAGTAATCCAAACATCTTATTCTGAACATGTTCATGTAGGACTCATGTATTATATACAGATGACTGCCCCTGCCCTTGAGAAATTCTTTTATTTTCATGAGAATATGCCGCACAATTTTGCATTTCTATTCAATTATGGCTTCTGACTTTGTTTATTTTGAATGCACCACAATCTGGTCCCAGCTTTAAATGTAAATGATGATAAAGTTCAAATTCCTTCCCCTGTCCTCAGGTTTCCGTATGATGGAGCTCTTTGGGCTGGTGGAGAATAAGTACAGCAGTGTCCCTGGCGTTTCCATGGTACCTGGCACCTTCAACACCTTCCCCAGTTTCCACCTGCACAGTGACGCCTTCCTGGCACAGCCCACCAGGTACACACACATATTTCACTAAACATAGTGTGTTTTTAAAAGTTAGATCAAAGTGCAGAAAACAACTTGAGAAAGTAATAATCAAATCTGGTAAGGCTACATGTACCTGATGTTTCCGTCTGTCTCCAAGGTTCATCCACCCTGAAGGGCTGCCCTCAGACTACACCATCACCCTGCTGTTCAGGCTGCTGCCCAACACTCCAGAGGAGCCCTTCGCCCTCTGGGAGATCCTCAACAAGAATAATGAGCCGCTGGTGGGAGTCATCATGGACAGTAAGTAATAATAATGATAATAATAATAATAATACATTTATTTTGGGGGGCGCCTTTCATAACACCCAAGGACACCTTACAGGGCATAGGGGCAATATAGGGAACAATTAAAACAGTGGATTTAGTGAAGTATCAGCCGGGGTAAGACAAGACAAACAACAGGAAATGGACTATAGAAGGACACAAAAGGACACTGGGTGCAGTTTTATAAAGAAAATGCCGGTTTGAACAGGTGGGTTTTGATTTGGGTTTGAATGTTGTTATGGAATCAGACTGTCGGATGTGTAGTGGCAGGGAGTTCCAGAGTCTAGGAGCCGAGCAGCTGAAAGCTCGAGCACCCATGGTTTTGAGGCGAGAGCTTAGGCTACGGACGAAGAGCGGAGGGTGCGGGAGGGGGTGTACTCCTGAAGGAGGTCAGTGATGTAGATGGGAGCAAGGTTATGGAGAGCTTTGTATGTGAGTAGAATGTTTTTGTAGTCAATACGGTAGCGTACAGGAAGCCAGTGTAGCTGAGTGAGAATGGGGTTATGTGGTCGGATGAGTTGGTGTGGGTGGTGATCCGGGTAGCAGAGTTCTGGATTATTTGCAGTCTATTGAGGAGCTTGATGGGAAGGCCAGTCAGAAGTGCATTGCAGTAATCAATCCGGGATGTGACGAATGAGTGGATCAGGATTTCAGTGCTGGGTTGGGACAGAGATGAGCGGAGTCTGGAGATGTTCCGAAGATGAAAGA